CAGCTGCACGACCCTGTGTGCTCTGCGGTTACGCCCAAGGCACTTCAGATCATGGAGAATGAGAAGATGCTCTTACTGCTGCTGTCTCTCTGCTCCTGTTTCTTATTAGTGTAGTGGGATAATGCTGCTGCCTTACCCTGCCAAGATACCGTGAAGGCTTCTGCTGGAGAAACCAGTCTTGCAGCGGTGACAACATACATGAGCCTTAGACTTCTTTCATCCTCTGAATAAGTTTACACACCACTGCTCAAGCAGTTAGTTAAGGCTTCAATCCTTGGATCCCCATCTTGTCCAAGAGTTGTTCCTAGCAGCTGTATTGCCTGCAAACACTGTTGCATTTGACTCTGATATTTGAAGATTTGAGTTACTTTTCTAACATATGATTGGCAACGACAAATTGCTGTGAGCTTTTATGTCAGTATGACCCTGCAGGCCCTCTGAGGTGAAAATGTAACCCAGTACTGCTGCTTTTTCTGGGATTAGAGTTCCATATCAAGTGATCCACTAAAATATTTCTAGAGATATTCTGAGCATCAGCTCTGAAACGATGTCTTCGGAGACAGGCGCTGCTCTGGCAGGCTGGACACCTCTGTGGGATGTCTGAGGTTTTCCTTATCCAATAACTGCGGTTAGGGCTTCTGGTTAGTGCAGTCACCCGTGCAGGCAGGGAGTGCACAGCAGGCTGGCTCCCCCATCCTCTGATGAGGAGCCATGACTCAGTTCTCCTGGTCTTGGCCTTTGTATCCCCTCAACCATCTGCAGCCTGCAGGAGTACCTTGTGGCAGAAGTTTCCAATCACAATTATGCTTCTCTTTCTGGGTTAAGCTGCTTGGTTTTCCTTTGAATGTTTCTATTTAAATTAAGATATTGCATACCTCAGGGGTGTGGAAATGTGAAGGATTTAAAGTGGTGCACATACTGGCTGTGTTTCTCTTATTTCCTTGCATTAGCTACTTCACAGGGAACTAGGTGAATGAAAAGCGCTTATAGGAAAGAAGCAGTCCAAAAGAAATAATGGAGATTTCCAGCAGGGCATGGTATATGGCCTTGGCTAATGGTGCAGTATCAGTGGGTCTGCCAGGATGTCTTGTTCTAGGTCTTACATCGGTTGCTCGGATCTTTGACATGTTCTTTGAATTTCTTCAGCTCCGTGAATAGTAGATTCTGGAGCACCAGAGGACATCTGGTGTTTCTGACGGATTTTCAGATGAGATTTATAGCACCTTCCATTTGGATTGGAGTGTGGGTACTCACAAAATAGCTTGGAGAGATTTTGCTGTAACTGGGGTGCCAAAGATTCAGCCTTGGAACTTGTCTCTGCTTGATTTCTAGGTTCATTCTGATAGCATGTGATGGCCTCTTTAAAGTCTTTACACCAGAAGAAGCTGTAAACTTCATTGTTTCCTGCCTTGAGGTGAGGAGAAGGCAGCTGGGGGCTGGGCTTGTCAGGGCAGGGCACATGGAATAGAATGATTCTGACTTGCAGAAATGTACTTCTGCCGGATATCCTCCCTTATACCTGAGGTTGTCCTTACTTGTCTTGCACTTTGTCCTTATTTGGGGCACTTACATGCTTTGTTGGGAGCAATCAGTATTGTCTTTCCTTGTCCCACCAGGATAAAAACATCCAGATGAGAGAAGGGAAGCTGGAAGCAGATGCTAGGTATGAAGCTGCATGTAACCGACTGGCCAACAAGGCAGTACAGCGAGGGTCGGCGGACAATGTCACAGTCATGGTGGTGCGGATAGAGCACTGAGAGATGAGGAGCGGCAGCAGGTTCCCCAGCTTCTGACGGATGTAAGGAAAGGGAGGAGTCTGGGTGTGTGCATGTGTGGCCAGGGGAGGGAGGGTCCTGCTGGGTGTTCTTCAGTGTAAATAAAGTTGGGTTGGTTTTTTTCTAATAGTTGTAGTTCACTTGGCCAACATGTTTTTTAAGTGTCTGCCAGAGTGGATCAGCCTATGGGGAATCTCTTGTTCTGTCAACCCTCCGTGAATGTCTTGGCAAACCAAATAAATCCATTTGGCAGAGGTGCTAGCAAGAGCAGGTATCTGTGGGCATGAACTCTGACAGCTGGTGTAGTTCTGCTGTTCATTACTTTGAGCATTGTATGAGGCCCTGGGAGAGTCATGAGCTCTTAGGGCTCGGTGGGAGTTCCCAGTCAGGCTGTACCGTATGGACTGTGCAGTACCAAGGCCACTGACTTGGGATGTGGTGTGGGCTGTCTTAGTGCTGGGAAGGAGATCTTCTGGTTCTGAAGCTGAGTTGTGAGGTTGCATGCAGCTTGAGTGATAGAAACACTGCTTTCAGAGCAGCAGTGTACCTTCCCTCTGTTAGCAGAAAACAATGGGGTTTTGTCCCAGTTGCCAATACAGCAAAAGTTGCTGGAGTTTGCTCCTGACGTTTATTGGGAAAGTGTTTTCAATAAATGGATCTGTCAGGCAGCTGAGATACAGGCAGGTCCTGTGCTTGTCTGTGTGCTATTTGAGGAGCAGGCATCTCGGGTTTTAGGTACTTGCTGCTATTAAGTGTCTGGTATCTCATCCTGTCCCCATTCCTCCACCAGCTGTTGCTGCAGAGTCAGTGTGCTGTTTTCCAGAGAAATATTGGCTTCAGACCAAATGACAGAGTGAAAGCTAAACCAAATGGTCTCCCAAAGAACATAAATTCCAGATTATGCAACTTTCCCATCATGTGAGTCAGAGGTGCAATGAGGGAGATGAGCCACTGTGTCTGTGGTTTCTTGCCCAGCCTCCTTGTTCTGCTCGAGAAACTGTGCAGTCTTAGTGGGAGGTTGGTACTGTGGTATCTGCCATTTTGTGCATAGTCCTGCGCAGGGTTGTGAGGCTTCCTTGTATCTTTCCTGCTCCCTGTGTTCCCTGAAGCTTTGGGAGATGGTCCTGGATCCTAGGCTGTCTGTTTTCTTGAGCACACAAAAGCTATCGTGTTGTTTGGGACAGGTGGCTTGACCATCTCATCCATTTGTGCTACAGCAGAAGTCAGTTAAGCTAAAGTTCATGGGTTTATGCGAACACTTCAGCTCACTCGGCCTAGCTTGCACTAACTCTTCACTTCTGTAGAGTACTGAGGAAGGAAGTGGGCCTCCAGCACATACATTAGGTAGTGCTTGCCACTGCCACCTTGTTCTGCTCCCAGATATTCCTGCATACTCTGATGTAAGGTTGCACTGCTGCTTCTGCTCTTGAAAGACAGATTTGGAGAGCCAAGATGGAGCAGCATAGAGTTTAGTCAATCCGTGGCAAAAGAAACCCTGATGGCAGATCTCAGGAAGGGCAGCTCACCCTCCTTTCTCACCTCCCTGCTTTTCACAGCTTTTAGGGAGAGGTGTGTGCTGTCCTGTGGGAGCTGAGCCAAGCACCCATCTCTGGTGCTCCCTCTAGGAGGCACCTTTTAAGTCCAGCACAAGAGCTGGCGAGAGAAGCATCAGCTTGTCCTTCTCTGTCTTCTCCTCCCTCCCTCTTATAAAAAATGAAAACTTAAAACCACAAATCCAACTTGGAAAATAATACACAGGAAAGCCATCTTGAGTAAGGTCCAGCCCAAGGAGACTGCCTCCCTCCTGCCTGTGTGCCTGGATCCCTCAGGGAATGTAGAGCCATGTGCAGTTCAGGCTGTCTGGCAGTGTTGCTGGCACAGCTTATGCGCTATTAAGAAATAAACTGTGTGGCTCCCTTGCCCCATGCCCAGCCTGCCCGGGTACCACTCCTGCAGCCCTTGCTCAGGCATGTAGCCCTGTGCCCATCCTTGCCTCAGATGGCTATCGGAGACGAAGCAGGGAGCGTATCTGTGGTGCCCACAGCCTGGGCCCTGTGCCATGGGCAGGGAATGCCTGGTATGGAAAGCCATGGGGAAGGAATTTGCTTTAATCGGATGTGCAGTGTTATCAGGATATTGCTCTGCTTTGAAGATTAGTTGCAAAGGACAATGGCTTCTGCCAGTAAACATTTGCTGTGAATACATTGCAGGGAAGCTAAAGTGATACAAGTAACCTGGTTTCTGCTGCTGGGAAACTGGGCAGGGATATCTGCTGAGAGAGAAATTACTTAAAGCCATTCACCCCTGTCCTGTCACTACACGTCCTTGTAAAAATACCTCTCCATATTCTCTTTAAGGCCCCTTTAGGCACTGGAAGCTGCTCTAAGGTCTCTCTGGAGCCTTCTCTTCAGGCTGAACAAGCCCAGCTCTCTCAGCCTGTCTCCATAGCAGAGGTGCTTCAGCCCTGGAAGCATCTTTGTGGCCTCCTCTGGACTCACTTTAGCAGCTCCACGTCCCTCTTGTGTTGGACACCCCAACTGAAACCATTCTATAGTTTCCTTGGCCCCAAAATGACAGTGCCTGGCTCTGCCATCCAGCTCCATGGTACCTCATCTCTGCTGTCCCCTGCTCCTGTTCTGGGGTCCCCCTTGGCCCCTCCTTCCTACAGCATGCCCCAGGGCTGGTGGGTATCTTTCAGCAGAAGCTGTAGCTCCTTGAGCAGCTCTCCTGGCACAGTGGGTCCCCCAGTGAGTGCAGGGGCAGTGCCTGGCACACAGATGCACACAACAGCCTGGGACGATCTTCCTGGAGATTGGCCACTGGCTGTTACAAGTGACCCTCCGTATGTAAAACCCTATGTGGCCCATGGGGCTCCCCGCAACCTACAGTGTGCATTTTTAATGCTTCAAAAGTAGAAACCTAACACAGAACAGCTAAACCATCAAATGACTCTGGAGCAGGTCTCACACTTCAGTCTTGGCAAGCAAAGTGCTGCAGAAGTTCAGGTGTCAGGAAAGAGAGGATTCACCCAATCCCCCTCATGTTCCCCCATGCTACATGTCAACATTATGGGGAAAGCAGCCATGATCACCAGCAGCAATGCCAGTCTCTGATGGAATACGCCACACTTCGGGAGGTTTCTAAATACTCTGAAAGCTTTGTGTTTTTGGAGGATGGGGAAAAGGCAGTTCTTAAAGAAACTGAAACCAGAACACCAAACAAAAGGAGAGTTAGCCAAAGCATCTTTATAAGGAAAAGCCTTTTCCCAGTGGTGGCTGGGCAGGGGGATACATATGCACCTGATGCCCTGGTCAGCTCGGCAGAGGGGTTTCTGTCTCCCCTTCACTCTGCAGAGCTGAGCTGGCAGAGAGAAGAGGCAAGAGGGGAAAGAGCAGCTGCACAGGGTGACAGTCAGTGCTGTAGGCTCTCCTGCTACCTATGGTCACCCTGGAAAGCCTCTGTCCACTTGGAGGTGTCCATGAAGATGGAGGAGGAGCTGTGGAAGAGCCACAGGCAGGGCAGGGAGCCCTCCCGTGTCCAGAGGTCCTTGGTGCAGTCGTACACCTCCATTTCCACCCGGTAGTCCCCGTTCATGCCCTTCCAGTGGCCGCCGGTGACGAAGAGCCGGTCGCCCAATGCTACCATCCCGCCATTCTCGTGGAGCGTGTGGAGGAGCTGCACCTGTGTGAGGGTTCCAAGCATCTCACCCTGCTGAGATGATTGGGACCTTCCTCGGGGTGCTCCCAATCCCACTGAAGAGATTAACCCACCAGGCACAACTCCCTTGCCCCATCCTCCCTGCAAGGTTTGGGAGTCCCTGCAGGCACGTCTTGCTTTTAGCAGCATCTCCCTGTTGTGCTTGTATAGGAGCAAGGTTGGGGGTGCTGTGGGGGGCCCGGGGTGAGTGGAGGGGACAGGCAGGATTTTGTTAAGAGTGCCAAGGCAGGAGGCTTGCAAGCTCTGCTGGAAAACCCTGATCCTGTAGGCTTCTGCATTGTGAATACAGCTTAAAATGAGCAACTCTGTACAAAAGCCATGCACCTAGTGCGAGTGACGGTGGAGCAGGGAAGGAATGATTGGGGCATCTTCAGGTCCACAGGGGTTAATAGAGCAAATGGATGAGCAGGCAGGAAGGAGCAGAGTCAGGGTATGGTTGTGGGGTGCTGACGGGGGGAACACCTGCCCCACCTCCATAGGAGTGCTTTGCCCCAGCCCACCATCCCGCTACCTTCTGCCAGATGTTGGCCTCTGGGTCATACACGTGGACCTTCTTGGTGTTGTCCCCGATAAGGTAGATGAGCCCGCGCAGGGTGGCACAGCGTGGGGCAGAGAGGTATTTGGGGATGAAGGGGGATGTGATCACACTCCACAAATCTGCAAGGAGCAGCCATCAGCAGCGTGTCCCACCCTTGGCTCTTGATGCAGCTGCCAGTGACTGAAAAAAGCATTGCCGATCCCATGGCTATTTAAGGGGCATTTTGAAAGGGAGGGGACAGAGCAGCCAGGCAGGATGGCACCCATGGTTCCCATTCCAGATGAGACTCTTGCATTAAAAAATGTGTGTGTGTGGGGATATTTTTTGTAGTGGTGGTGTGGGAGACCACCACCCGAGGAGGTGGCATTGTCACAGGGGTTTGGCTTCTCCCTAAGGCAGGCAGGATTCCCTCACCCCTCTGCCACAGGGATTCGTCTCCACTGAAGCTCTGGTCTGGGCTGTGCTGCCAGCAGCTGTACTCCTGGATGGCCCCCTACCCTGTGCCACAGCCATCACCAGAACCCCATTGGCACCCGGTTGCATCCCACAAGAACATGCCCAGTGGCACAGGATGTTGCCTGTCTGGGGGGTCACCCTCAGTCCTGCTTCCCAGGAAACTGTTGGTGGGATGCAGCGGCAGGGCCAGCTCTCACCTTGCACAGGGTTGTAGCACTGCAGGGTGAGTGCATTGTACTTGACGGCACAGGAACCCACCAGGTAGAGCTTGCTCAAGCAGCTGGCTGCTGCAAAATTGCTCACATACTTGAGGGCCGGGCTGATGGCACACCAGCTCTTGTTGTATGGGTCATAGCGCTCCACCTCCACCACGTCCACCGTCGTCCCTGCAAGGCGGCAGGACACTGCCCACTGCTCTGGGGCACCCACAAACCCCTGCCCCAGCAACACCCGCGGGGTCTTTGCAGCCTTACCCCCAATAACATAGATCTCGCCATTGAGGATGGCACTGGTGTGGTTTGTCCGGGCTTTCAGCATGGAAGCAATGGGCTTCCAGGCACCGTCCCTGGGGCAGAAGCACCAGGCCTGGGTTGTTGACCATGTGTCATTCTGGGACCCACGGGAACCACCTGGGAAGGGACAGGTCAGGTGGACACCCCTCTGAGTGCAGCCGTCTCTGGGCATCCCCTGCCAGATCCACCCAAGAGGGGGGCTAGGAGAGGGTTTTGCTGGGAGAGGAGGGTAGCCCCTGGCCCCATGACAGTGCTCTGTGCCCACTTCTTTGTCCTTCACCTTCCATCCCCACTCTCTGGGGACACTCACCCTGCGCTAGCACCTACCTGTGACATAAACATCGTTGTTGAGAGCCACCAGGGAAAAGCCCCATTTGTTGTAATCGGGGAAATCTGGCAGAGCCATCCATCGCCCTGAAACCCAGCAGAGCCAAGTGAAGAGCTCCCCCCTCAGACAGTGGTGATGCTTTTGAGCCAGCCCTGTTTCATTCTTCCCCCCCCCCCCCCCCCCCCCCCCGCCCGCCCCTCTTTTTCCCCAGTGCCCCTCCTGACCTCAGATCATTTGGCAAGAGGTGGCTTTGGGGTAGATGGAGGGTTAATTAACATGTAATGGGTGTACAGTTGCCCCATCCATGCCATGCACACTTACTACTTTTGGGGTTGTAAAAGGCAAAGTTCCTGGGGGTGGCCGGCATCTGCAGCCCCCTGTCCTCATCCTCACCCTCTTCCAGCACGCGGCCACCAACCACCACCAGCACCTCCTCCAGCTTCTGCAGTGAGGTGGGGGAGTTCTGCGCACCAGCATCACTCTGGCCCTGATGGAGAGGCCAGGACAAGACCATCAGGGTCCAAGCTGAGCCACCAGCTTGTGGAGTGGGATTTGGGGCAGGGGTACCCACCGTGGTGCGGGATCGTGTGACAAGGGCCTTGCTGGCATCTGAGTCACGGATAAGGGGCTCAGTGGTAAGCAGGTTCTGCAGGTACTGGTCAGGCAGCAAGACGAGGTGAGCCAGCTCCAGCAGCTCAGGAAGGAACTGGGCTCGGGACCCTGGGTCATGGCGTACCCAGCGCAGCACAGCCTCAGCCAGGCTCTGCTCCTCCTGCACCTGTAGCTGGTCCTTGGAGAGGTAGACAGCCAACCTCTCCTTGGAGAGCTGGAGGAACTCCTCCTGCAGAGAAACAGCTTCAAAGTTCTCCTGCAAGAAAGACCAGGCCTTGGAGGAGACCTCAGGGCAGCCGTGGCTCTCGCCGAACTCGCAGATACCTAGGCAGTTGGTGGCATCCATCTGCTGCCGGAGGTAGCGGCTGCAGACCGTCTGGATAGTGGGGAAGTGCAGCTGGCTGGAGGTTCGCATCAGCCCCTCCACGTTGTCCTGGTTGATGGTGACCTTCCCCGTGTAGGCAAAGTCGAGCAGCATCTCCAGGGCACCAGCGTCCACCTCTTTCAGCTCCACCCGTGCTGCAATGCTCTCGGCGAAGTCACCGGAGAACATGGCATAGAAGTAGTGGCTGCAGAGGGCCAGGATGCCGCGGTGGCAGGGGAACTCCCGCCCGCCCGCCACCAGCGTCACATCTGCCAACTTGGGGTTGGAGCGCAGCCGCTGCAGCCCCTCCAGCATGCCCTGGGCATGTGAAGGCAGGCAGAAGTCAAAGTCGTCCACATTCCTCACCATGGTGCTGGGGATGAGCGCAGTGCCTCGCTGGCTGAGAGAGACCCCGCGGAGCGTGGCAGGGGTGCCCCTGCCAGGGAAAGGCGATGACATCTCCCTCCCTCCGCACAGCCGCACCTTCCCAGCGCCTGATCTACAGGCACCAGCCGGGACTAGGGAAGTGCTCCCTGGACCCCGCCATTCCCACGTGCACCGGTGCCCTCCCCATGCTCCTCCGAAGCTGCCCTGTCGGAGCTGCCACCGATTTTTAGGGGGTGGGGGGTGGTGTTTGGGGTGGGTTCAGCCCCGCTCTGTCTCGCTCGCTCCCGCTCTCACCTGGGCTCTGCAGCCCCCCGGCCAGCCCGCCGGGAGGGAAGTGGCCGCGGTCCGGCACTGGGGAGGGACACTCTTGTTGAGACACGGGAAACAGCCGGGACAGGGCAGCACGCTATTTTTAGGCGCCACTGGGACACCGTTCCCTGCTCTTAAAGGCACCGTACAGGCAGAGCTGCCTGCTCCTCCCCATCCCTGTCGCCTCGTGACTTTGCTGTTTTGGAAGGCATCCCTCTGCAGCCAGCTGGGCACCACGAGCCCGGGTGTTACTGCAGCATCGCCCCGACCTTCCCGTCGGGGGCGTCTCTGCGATGTCCCTACTCCCTCTGGCTATCGTTGTGATGTGTTAAATATAGGATGTTATCTCACTCCTCCTCGGCCGCAAATAAGCAGCGGCAGCCGCCTCACCGCAGGGAGTGAGGCCGCCCCAGGGGCCAAAACACTGGTCCTGGAGAGGGTGGGAGGGGGTCAGGGTGCTGGGGCAGTCCCTCTTCCACACAAATAGCTTTCTCCATCACCTCGGGAAGCTTCACTCAGCTCGGACAGAAAAAAGAGGCCTTTATTACAGCCCGCGGTTTCACGCAGCCCTCCCCGCCAGCGGGTGGGCATCACTCTTCTAAGCTGAAGATCTCGGCTTCCTTCTCCTTCCAGAAAGCGAAGCTGCGGTCGATGTAGCGGCAGATCTCCTCTCCATCTCCTCCAGCCTCCCCTAGCCGCCAGGCTGAGCTCTGGGGTGATCCGAAATACTTCTCCTTGATGTCCTCGAAACCGTCCTGCCAGCGCCGCCGGCCGGCTGCGATTTCGTCGGTGACGGCGCGGTGGAAAGCGCGCACCGCATGCCAGCCATGCCGGCCCAGCTGCTCGAACACCTCGAAGCAGAGGAGGTGGCGGCCGCGGCGCTCCTCGGGAGACAGTTCCTGCTCCAGGATGCGGAAATAGCCCAGCATGAAGAGCTCCAGCGACAGGCTGTCGTAGTCTGCCGCCTTCCCCCCGGCCAACACCACGAACTGCTCTGGAGAGAGCAGGGCGCTCGTAGGGGGCGGCGGCGGCGGGGGGCGGCGGGAGGCAGCTTCCCGCCAGCCGCCCAGAAGCCGCTGGATGGCCTCCCTCTGCCGCGCCAGGCGGGCCGTCCCCCACTCCCCAGTCGCCGCTGCCTCCCGGGGGTCCCCGGCGGCCGGCAAGGAGGGCTCGTAGGCAGAGGACCGTTTCCAGTGGCTCAGGAAGAGCATCACGATCCGTTCCTTCCTCAGGCTGCCCCACTCCGGCCCCGGCCCCGGCCCCGGGGATCCGCCGCCGCCGCCGTCGGAGAACCCCTCCTCGCAGCTGATGCCCGAGTCGCTGGCGGCCTCCGTACCTTTCCCTCCGGCCGCCTTCTCTTCCACCGCCCCCCAGGCGGGCTCGAAGGCCCCGCGGAGGCTGCGGACGCAGACCCCGTACTGCCGGATCTCCCGCTGCGCCAGGCTGCCCGCCGTCTCTCGGGGTTGCCCGACGGCGGCGGCGGGGGCACCGGCGGGGGGAGCGGCGAGAGAGGAGACCCGCGCCCCCTCGGCGTGTGCCAGCATCGCGGCCAGGCTGCTCACGGCGCCCGCCAAGCGGCCACACCAGAGGGGCAGCGGCTGCCCGGGAGCGGGCGGGGGGCTGCGCACGGTGATGCTGAGCAGCGGGGCAGGCAGGAGGGCGCGTAGCTCCCGCGCCAGCCGCCGCAGCTCGCTCTGGTACGCCTCGCCCCGGCGCCGCAGCCGCAGGCTCTCCACCGTCCGTTCCAGATGCTGCAGGTCTGCCTCAGTCAACAGCTCCCCGAAGGGGCCCAACATGGCCTGACGGGAGGGCGAAAAGCTCCAGGAGCCCTCGTTCTGCGGAAAGGGTCAGTCAGCCGGCGGCCCCGGGGCTGGCAGCGTGGGTCCGGTCTCTTCCCATCCCCGGGACGCCCGTACCTGGCCGTCCGCCTCCTCTTGGTACACCAGCCGGGCCTGCAGCCGCCGCACCATCACCTGCCTCTTCCACTCGTGGATGGGGCGGCCCCTCTCGTCGTGTGTGGGTACCAGGAAGTCAACTTCTGCCTCCGCGGGGTCCGGCCCCGGGGGTTCCGCGGGCTCGGCCGCTCCATGCTGCGCGGGCAGAGTCACGGGAAGATCGGGGTGGGGGGGGCAGCTCGAGGGGGATAGGCCGGGGGCCGCGGGCGGAGCCAGCGACCTACCGGGTGGGTGAAGAAGGGCGCCGGGATCCTGGCTCGCTGTGAGGGCTTGCGAAGCTTTAGTTCCGCCGGTACCAACCCGCCGGGCTCCATCCCCAGCCGGGCCGGGTGGCTGCCGGGGGGAGAGGCGCAGGCTTCCTCCTGGAGAAGGAGGGCAGGCAAGGGGAGATGCCTCCCTCCCAACACTCCCAGGGCCCCCCAGGAAGGACAGGGTAAGGGGTACTCCGTGAAGATGCCCAGCACATCACCCCAGTTTTTGAGGGAAACCTTTCCCTGGAAAGACCCACTGCTGAGCGTTTCCGTCAGAAAACGGGATGGAGCTGCAGAACATCTGCTGCGCCTTCTTTCCCCGGGGGACATCGCGATGCCCCCGCAGCTGATGACCAAGCCCGGGGCCGCCCACATCTCCGCCACCTCTTCTCCGGGCGCCCCATGCCCACGGCGGGCTGGCTTTTCCCAGGGGATGGGGGCACCCACAGCCCCAGCGGGGCCTTACCTTCTGCGGAGGGGGGGCTGAGCCAGCCCCCGGGGACAGGAGGCACCTGGGAGCCCGCCGCTGAGTGCAGGAGGTCGGGTTCTATCCGGGCAACACCCAAAAGTGGGTGCAGCGGCACCCCTGTTCAAGAAGCAATGCTCAGTACTAGGCAGGAGGGAAGGCTGGAAGCTGAGCAGCCCTGGAGCGGGCTAAGGCCGCGGCTGCAGCGCTGGGGCAGGGAGCGCACTGAGCATTGCATTAATATTTCACCGGAGCATCGAGTGGCAGTGCTGGAGCTCAGTGGGTGGCACCGGCACCAGTCCTGGAAATAGTGGCTCGGTGGCTTGGCTCCAAGCCTTGTCCCGCTCCTCAGGCCAACAGAGAATGGCCAAAGCTGGTCATTGTGCCTACCTCCACGCTAGGTTTTGGGGACAAGAAGTGTTTTGCACTGGCTGGCACATGGTGCAAGTACTGGCAGTGGGGGATCTTTGGCAGAGGGACCCACCACACTGCTGCCGAATACCTGTTGCCGATATTCAGCCACGTTTGTGTTCCTTCAATCCAGCGCCATCCATTATATATGGCCGGGATGGATTAGTGGGGCTCAGTTACATGTGAGAAATTCCATCAAGGGGCTGGAATACAATCAAGAAGCAGCAGATCAAAGCCTTAAACACCAATCACCCGGTGAGGATCCGTTACAGATTCAGCCTCTCAATCCTTCCCCAGCCCAGATGACTCCTGGCACAGGGCGGCGCTTGTGGGGTACGTGAGCTGACACCACCCTGCAATACAGCCGCAGCTCCGGGGTGGGTTACGGAGTGCCTGCTGCAGTGTGGCACCCTGCAATATTAATGGGGATGTGGTATGAAACACGGGAACATGGCCCAGTGCTGGAGCTGCCACATGTCTCAGGTTAAGCAGACAGATGTTGCGAGCTGTGGTATGAGCCACATGCGAGCCTGCTCCTGTGTCTTATTGCTGGCATGGAAGGAGAAGGCTGGAGCTTTGCCAGCTGCTGTGCCAAGGGGGGATTTTGCTGAAAGCCCTGCAACGGTTGGGTCTTCCTCTGGGTACCAGAGAGCTGCTCTCAAACATCCTGCCTCCTGCTCCCCTGGAGTGCTGGGGAAGGACAGAAAGCCACCTCCATGGCTTGGGACCTCTGCTCAGAGGCAGCCTTTGTGAGCTACCGAAGAGCCACCTCCCCCTGCCAGCATTTTCCAATCAAAATTTCTATGAGAGTTTAATCTTTGCATATGTCTCTGGGGCTCAGAAGGCACTGAGAGGCTGTGGTCCCACTGAGCAGCCTCACCCCATGCTCAGCTGCCCTTGCTGTGCCAGATGTGGTCCCCAAAGCTCTTGACACCAATGTTTCAGCCTGCTCCCTGGGAAGCAGATTCTGAAAGGTGGCAGGCAGGTGTGGGCAGCAGCTCAGCCCCAGTGCCGGGAGCTCTCCAGTTAAGTGGTCCATGGGAGGGATGGAGCAGGACAGCAGTGAGGGCCAGGCACTTTGGGGCATGCCACCATGTGGCTGCCACCACAAAGCTCTTGAGGGTGCCCCGAAATGAGGAAGAGCTCCATGTTTCCCTGAAGAAGAGACTCCCTAAATACAATGCACATCCTGTCTGGGGCTGCTCCTCTCACTGGCAGTCCTCTTCTGCAGGATTAGGAAAAGAGAGGATGGTCTCCCCTGAACCTCCATCTTAGCTGCTTTCCTTTCTCTGGACTTCAGGAGAGCAGACACTGGCCCCTCCAGGGATCTGTTTGTCACAGTCCCAGCGTGTTGTGTCTGTTTGTATCTCAACCCACAGGTTTTATCTCTCCTTGTTTTTTTTTTAAATTCTCCTTCCCATCTCAGTGTGGCAGCTAAATTTAGCAGCTGTGTGGTACTTAGTTGCTGTCTGGGCTTAAACCACAACTGAGTTGTGATTGCACTCGACAAATGTACAACACACAATTCACTTATTGACTGTTTTATAAAACTCTTTATTAATATCTGAAATAATGTCAATAAAATGTGAACTCCTGGATCACTTCTGAAAATGAGACTTATGCTCAAAAAAATAAAAGTAATTTGGTGGTGGTTAAATTTTTGACAAAGGAAATTCCGACTCCTTTATTTGGGCAGAACTCTGTCATGTCCTGTGTCCTAACCCATCCACTGAGGAGGCTATCTCCTAGAAACAAGAGCACAAAAATAA